CTCCAGATTGCTGTTCCTCTCCAATAGTCTTTCTTTTCTCTCATCTTTTGCTTTCTTCATTGAGTTTCTGATTGTGGAAATGAAATATAATCATTATAGGAATTCTTCAAAGTTGCGGGGGAAAAAGCATGAAAATGCTGGGGGTGGAAAAACCCACTCCTGACCCCCACTGTGAGGAGGCTTGGTGGTCAGCTTGTTGGCTGCAGGACTCTGAAGGGGCAGCACAGTAAGTGAAGTTGGAGGCATACTCTTGAGGCCTCCCTCCCAGCTGCTCCCACTTGTGGTCATTTCCCAAGTACACCAAGGGGCCATTCTCTTACCATCTCCAATGTTCTGGGGGAGCTTTGGAAGAGCTTGTCTTTCCACTTAGCAATGGAAATGATGAAATGCCTTTGGACTTGAACTTCTCACCTGCAACCTGGAGCCAAGCTTTCCTGCAAGCAGGAGTCAGGTGAGCAGTATTTAGGATTATGGTAATCTCCTGCACTGCTATCCTCTTCCAATTTTTCTAAGTTGCCTTCTAAACTGATTTCCTTGATGCTGTTTGAGTCAGCCTTTTCGCTGCTGTGACTAAAGGATCTGGCCAGCAAAACTGTAATGTTTGTAGGGGAGGAAAAATTTACTTGAGAGCTCAGGTTTCAGAGGTCTCAGTCCACAGAAGTCTGGCTCCATTCCTCAGGGCTTGAGGTGAGGCTGAACATTAAGGTGGGAGAGTGTGGCACAGGGAAGCAGCTCACATCTGGGTGGCCAAGAAGCAGAGAGACTACAGCTCCAGATATAAAATATATAACCCATAGCCATACCCCCAATCAACCACCTCCTCCAGCCATACCCCACCTGCCTCTAGATACTCAGTTAATCCCATCAGAAATGAATTCACTGATTGGGTTAAGACTCTCACATCCCAATCATTTTCCCCCTGAACTTTCTTGCATTGTCTCATGTGTGAGCTTCAGGGACACCTCATATCCAAACCCTAACACACTTTCTAGCAGTTGAATCAGCCTATCACTAAAATGAATGATGAGACTTCTTCAAAATGACTGGCTTACAGTTTTTATAAATTCTGGATTTCTAAGATGATAATGGTTCCTTTGGAATTACATGGTACTTTGTAATTCTTGAGAATTACATGGGTACTTTAGAAGCTATGGAAGAAATATAGGTAAGGATGGGAACATTGCCCAGATAAACCTGTACAATGGCGATTGCACCCCCAGGAGTTCTGCTGAGGATTTTGAGACCATGTCCACACTCCATGGGAAAAAAATGAAGTGGTTGGTGGTTGATTAGTGATGTCTGCTGGGGAAATGGAATGGGGGTATGGGATGGAAGCTTTTCCTGTCATCCCTGAACATAAGGTCCAGGCCTTCAAGGAGCTTAATTTGATTTCTATTAGAAAAACAAGTTAAAATCAAAGGCAAACCATACATGTTAAAGTGAGTTATAGTGTAAGATTTCTCTCATGGGAAAAAAATCAAAATGGGCTGGAAGATTTTTGGAAGAGGTGGGCAGGGGCTGGTCCTGAGACAAAATCTAGACAAAGGCTGGGTGGGGAGGAGACAAGAAGACAGAGCAGACTGAGGAATGAATTTTGTTGTGTCACATTTCACATGGCTCCAAACTATAACTACTATCCACTTTACACTATGGTGAGATCATCCTCCTCAGGGTAAGTACAAAATTTTAGAATATATATAAGTGGAACTTATAAGATAAGTTAAATTATATTTAGAACAGAATAAAAATGCATTTGAAAATTTAAAGGGACAACTACCACTTTTAAGCTTGTGCAATGTTTAAAAAGAAAAAAGAATAACATAACAAAAACCTGCGGAGAGTGAAGATTTTTGTCATATTTGCCTCCAGACTCTTTTTGTTTTTAAAGAAATAAAATATTGCAGATAAAACTTCAGTCCCTCTATCAGCCTGTCTATCTCCCCAGGAACAACCACTACAAGAAATCTGAAGTTTATTCTTCAAGTTCATTTGAAATATTTTTACATACCGACCTGTGTACACACAGACATTTCTCAACTCTTTTTCATTCCTTTATTGTCAAGAAGTCAAGCCAACACCCTCTACTTGCCAACCACGTCT